GCTAGATTAAACAGAATTTAAAGTTTTTGGGGGTTTCAAAAAACAAGGGACTTAAAAAAGCTGCTTAATATTTAGAAATGGAGACTGTTTTGAGTGATTTTAAACTTAATTATTAGTTTTTTGAAGAGAATAAACCCGAAAACAACTCGGTTAATCAGGAAGAAATCTGGCATCAAGCTGTATTGACTCTGGAATAGTACTGGACTCAAATCGAATCAAGCACCATGCTCCAGGTTGGTGCTGGATTTCTATTTGATTAACCGACTTGTGCTATTTGGAAATGTTTGACTTTTAAGTTGGAGAAAGATCCAAGCTTATTTTGAGCATTGCTTTATTGACTCTATGTCCTTGTGCTGCTGAGGAGCTTTCTTGCTACATATTTGCAAGATTGTATACTTTCTGTAAACTAATGAGTTGAGTCATGAGCACAAAATCGCAGATTTCCTTTTAATAAGCTAATTGCACACTCATTTTTTTGATCCTGTTCAGTGAGTTTGGATATCCCGAGCGACACAAATGAAAATAGAGTGACACGGATCCGTCTAGGCTTTACAAAGAGATGATTTGTTAACACAATATAAAGTCCTTTTTAGTGGAGTCTCTGTGAGGTTTTAAAATGTCACTGACTATAATTCAAAAGAAGGCTTCATGAAGTGGCCTCTTTATAGTCATAATATGCCATAATAAATCATTTCGTTGCGGAGCATTGACAGATTGACTAATTTTTTATGTCACTCGGGTATCTGATGCAGAAATATTGTTAAACTCTTTTGTCCAGTCTCAAGCGTTCTTGTTGCAATCATGACCATAAATACCTCTAAACTCACCAAACTTTCAATGATGCTAGCCTAGCCTGAAATATTTATTCTTGTTCCACAATTTACTAAAATAAAATAAAACAAATGTTTAATCAAATAAACAGAACCACAGTCAGAATTATAAAAGGAACCACATTTCTCCAGCATAAAACGGTTAAAAAAGGAGCATCGAGAAATTTTCACCGTCCAAAAAAATTTCATTTTAGCAGCATTTATGTTTAAAATGAAAATAAAATTTATGATGTGTGGTTTTACGGCATGTATGAAAAGGTTCACTGGAGAGGTTTTTTTATGCTGAAAAGAAAGGAGAATGGAATTTTTTAAAGCACAAAAAACAAGTTCTTTAATTCTTTTCGTCTTCTTTATTCGAAAAATAAAAGTTTTGGTATAAAAAAATTTTTATTCGTGTTTTGTAAGTTTACAGAAACAATCGATACGGGACTTAACAATAAGTCTTATTTACTCAGGGATATTTCCATTGTTTGACTTAATAAAATTTAAAACAAATTAAAATTCTGTCAACTCTGAAACACATAAATGAATAACGAATGTAAATTAAATGATTAATTAGTCATTGCTTTTACTATGGCGCCTTTGCGGATGTTGCTAATTATCATAATTTTAGATTTGTAATGAATACATGTGCGTTGGTGCGATGTGGAAATGGTTGCGGATGTGAGCTTTGTTTTTAATCAAGCTTTGAGGTCAGAAAGTCCATCTCTCATAATATAATTACATGCTATAAGTTATGTAGGATGAAATATAATATTTGAGGACATTGAGATTAATTAAAATTGCTGCTTTTAATTTTAATGCTCTAGTTGCGATAATTACTATGGAAAAGCCATTAAAACTTTTCATTAAATAGTTTATGATGTTTACATGACATTTGCAATAGTAAAAGCGTAAATGTGGATATACTGGTGGATAATAAGCGTTATAGGTTGATAATGTAAACTTTTTTGAACGTGCTTTTAGATTCAGTTTGTGTAAACTAGTGTTGATGAATTTTGGCGATTTTTATGGCTTGTCAAATGAAGTGCAAAGTGTAAAGAATAGGGCACTTGAGTGATGTAAATGGCATAAGCTCCATTATAGATCCAAGGCTCAAACTCTTCTGAATTTCAATCTGCAAACCATTATTAAAGTCATACATCTCAATAAACCCAATAATCACACTTTCCTACTTTATTAAAATCACAACCATTATTAATAACACAGTTAATCCACACATAATTGATAAGCTTGGTTGCTGTGACTTATCAGATGTTATGTCCTCAAATTTGACAAATATTTGCTTAATTAAGATTAATTATAGCTTACAATTCTATTAGATTTATGCTTAATTAAAAGCTTTCCGTAGATAAACATAAATAAATTAATAACTCAGTTCCTTTATGGTTTCCAGCGCTTTAGTTAAATAACTACGCATGAAGGTTTGTTTGTTTTCTGTGCTTCAGCTTTGCTTAATGGTTTTATTATTAAGCCTCAGACAAATTACTTAAATATCAATTTGAATTGGATTTACTTTAAAAATGATTTTTTTTTTAAATTTTCAAGAAAAATCCCGGAAATCCTAAATTGAAAATTCTCAATCATTCAAAAGTATGTGAGTGCTTCCCTGGAAAGATTTATAAATAACTCAAAAGCTCATTTTATTTTATGTTCCTGAAACTTATCGTAACCTTCAACGTAAATTCTTGTGTCGATGTTGCTTTTCACAATAAACAATTTCGAAGCGTGAAGCACATAAAAGCAAAAATTATTCTTGAAATTGCCTTTTTACATTTTTCTTGTGTATAATAAAATTTCTTTTGATTTTTCTTTATTTTATTTGAACAAATTTAAATTTTATTGATGTTGATTTGATTGGAATTTGAGTGTCGTATAAGAAGAAATTGTTATAGCATTGTGAGGAACTCGATTGATGAGCTTTTAATGAGAGATTTTGACTTTATTGGAAGTAAATTTTAAAGTCTCTGATATCTGACATTCTCTGATACCGAAGTACTCAAGTCATTGGCGTAGTTAAACATCATAAAGGTGATCAAACTATTGCTGATTATAAGTGGCTCTAAATCTCCTCTTAAATATCCTTGCTTGGATAATGAAACGATCAGACTGAGAAATTGGCTGTAATTTTAAATTAGCAAGTAACAATAAAGCAATAAAGGCAATGATATCTGCTTCACAGAATCTTGAAAATTTTAAATTTATAACTCAAGACTGCCAAAAATGCAGTAAACTCAAGAAGCAGAGCTACAATAAAAATTTCAGCACGTTTACTTAATTTATTGGCTCATGATTTGAGACATGTAAAAAGTGCAGTTTATTAAACTTGCATGGATAAAAAATTCCATTAGTATGGAACTTATCCTTATTAAAATTTCATAAAAAAATTTCTTCATTACTTTATTTTTTTTGAAAAAATAAATTTTCAGACTAGAAATAATTATACTTTTAGTTCCAAAGAAGCATGAGGGCATTAAAAAATTTAATTTTAAATTTTCATGCACATAATTTAAGTTCCATCATGCGACGCTAGCAAATGCATACTAATGAAATTTTTATGAACTGTGACGATGATATTCATGGGGATTGGGGATCGTTTTAAAGAATGATAAGGTAAAGTTTGTTCGGAAAGGATGTAAATGATAAATGGTTGATTCATGATAAAGGAAAACAAGCCGCCTGAAGTATTTTGGCCACAGTAAATGACGATGGAAATTATCCCTGGCATTAAAATATTTTTCGATCATTTTTTATCAAATTTTGATGCTTAGCATTTAATGTCTTTAGAAGTGGGTCATTCACAAATGACGCTTAACTCACAGAAAGAGTCAAACTCCATTAGCCAGGGAAGGAGCTAGGAATTTGAGGGGCAGACAATTTTTTTTTGGAAAACTTTTAGGGGGGGGGGGGGGTATTTTTCAAGTTTTTCATAAAAACTCTAGCAAAATGAAGAAATGAAATTTCTCAAGACGAAAGGGGATTAGTCCCACGAAGGGGGATTAGTTTAGGTTCACAATCATCTTTAGCAGTTTCTTGGTTACACACTGGTCATGTTTTCAAGTATGGAAGAAGTATAAAGTAGAATATACTAGAACGAACAGTCCACACCGCTCAAAATCGAGTAACTTCGACTTATTTTATACAAATTTTGACAAAATCATAGTTGACGTCAAGCTCCAATGAATTCTGGTTCTCAAGTTTATGCTTCGTTACTTCTGATAAATGTTAGACGTCATATGTGAATGAAGCCATAGTTTATCAGTGTAATCCTTTTAATTTAGACAATTTCTATCTAAAACTTCCTTAACTTCATAGCGGTGAAATGGCATCAGTGACCTAAATGGTAGAGCGTTGGCCTTACGTGCCAAAGGTCCTGGGTTCAATCCCAGGCCATGTCTAATTTTCGAAGCTCTTTTTCCATTTCACCGTTCTAGTTACGAAGCTCGGTTCGTGTGTTGGGTGTAGTATTGATGTCTTTGGCATAGAATATGCCTCCTTTGCTAGGTATACAAGGATATACTAGCATCTGGATGACTTCCTTACGGCATCTTGCGCACACGGATTGTGATTAGGTACATTGCAGGGTACATCAGGTCTTATGACGTACTCGTGTCTTTGCAATGTACAGAGCTTGCAAGTGGTTCGGATCCCACTATAAACTGTAGGTCTAAAGGGTGTGGTACAATAGATTCTGTTCTAATTTGAATCGCAGTGCCTCCAGCTGAAAGGCTGGGCCCTTCACACATTATATATCCTTAACTTCATAAAATAAAAATTTCCGACTAATAAAACATTCGCACGAAATATTCAACTCCTTAGGGGCCATTCACTTATTACGTAACGCTTTTAGGGGTAGAGGGGGGTCTAAGATTTTGTTACGGTTCAAACAAGGAAATTTTTTTTCATACAAATTTTGTTACGAGGGGGGGGGGGTCTAAGAAGTCATTTTTTCGCGTTACGTAATAAATGAACAGCCCCTTAACAGATGCGTGATGAAAAAGTTTTTCGATTTGACATAAAATGAGTTTGTTTGGTTCTGTTTTAAATACTTCAAATTTTGTTTCCGTAACAATCTTTGAATATCTACTTACTTTTGTTCTAAGTTCAATTGTTTTACTCGACATTCTTATTTCTGCTTATTTTGGTAACAAAAAACGCACAAAAAAATTTGTTTCTCTTTATTTTTATTCCCTAGAGTTTTACAATACATGGCGACACAGGAAAAATATTTTGGATTCTTTTTTGTGCTGTTTGTAGTTTCATCTCATACTTCACATTCGGCTTCGCTTAATATAAGAGAATGAATATCAAAAGCTGATTTCGTTTTTCTTGGTGGTTGTGGCGGTGAGAACAGGTGGGGACCAACAAAAACTGAATTTAACCGTGGTCGGTTGTATGGTGAGTAGCCTGAAGGGTACATGCGAGATGAATTATAAAGAAAAAATTAAATGTTTAAAATTAGAAGAATTAAAGAATGAGTCAGAAGAGTTTGTGCTGCTTCAGCTTATTTCTTGTACAAAATTCCAATGAAGGATCCTTCCTAGATGAGAATTAAATACGACGAATTCTCAAAAATACTGATTAATAAATTTATAGGCTCTATGGATCTAGGAAATTAGTCTTAGAAGTTGGCGTCAGCATTAATAAATTCTGACATCACAAAATGCAACACAAATCCTCACCTCGACTTTGATTAAGACCCATTTGATTCCATTGTATCGACATAGGACCTAGAGACATTCTCTTTGTAGCAACAGCCTCTAAGGTCGTTAGTGGGCAACTCGGACGATGCAGTGCTTCTTCGAATTTCGGTGTATACGGCTCGAGCATTCGAATTTTTCCCCAACGATGAAAAAACAGTGCAACTGCTCCAACCCATAAAATCAAAACAAGGATAACAATAAGCGCTTCCTCGGGTCGTACAATAATTCTGTTTCCTGTGAGTGAGAAAAAAATAAAATTGATGAAACAGTAAATCAAGATCGAGTCATAAATCAAATTGTGAATGATGTGTATATTCGGGATAATTTTATTTTTTTCTGTGGGAAGCTTCTATGTCTTTTTGTTTGTCTATAGATTAGACATGAACAAATGTATATGGATGCCTATCATCTATCAAGGCACATCATCCATCTCATATTTTATTCACGCACATTTAAGCTTTAAAATGCTTTCTCATCATCCGGATTAATATATATGTAATCCCCGACCGTAAAAAATGATAATTTTGAGATTTTTCATGGTTCATATTATGACATTAAATTGATGTTAAATAAAATAGAATGATAGAATAAATGGAACATTTTAATGGTTACAGATATGCCATTTTTCAAATATGTGGGATTAAATGCTCAATTCTATCGCTTCCTTTTCCATCATAAAAATTTTGCAGACATTGTAAAAAAGATCAATTTCGATGAAATTCCCAAGTGAGCCATCAACAATGTTGTGTGAATAAGATTCATAGGATTGAATGAAAAGTGAGTGAGAGCGAGAGATAGCTCACATTCACATGGGAATTTAACATTTTCATACTTTTCCTCCTAGTCAATATAAAATTGAATTTCGAATCACATCAATAAATTGAATTATATTCCTGTGAATGTTTACTGAAAACTGGTAGAAAAAAAGATTAATCAAATCAAGTGTTTCTCTTTTCAATTATTTTGAGTTCCTATTCGATGAGCTTTTCACGATCAAAAATAAATTATTGAGTTCCAATTGGTTTGTTCGGAAGCTTTAGAATTCAATTAAGTTTCGGAATTTATTACTACTGTAGATTAAGCTTCGATATCGCCTTTAGTTGATATCACACTTTTCAAAATAGACAGTAGCTTTCAAAAGCAACCAGTTTTTCATTTAATTCCAAAGACATCGGATGTGAGACTTGACATGAATCAAAATATCTGCAGGATTTTTTTCAAAACCACAGTTGTCAAGTCAGATTCATTCTAACTGCTTTTTTCTCTATCAAGCATCCGCTTGTAACAGAAACTTTTCAGAAATTTTCATTTCCTGGTTTTAAATGTCAACCATTGCATGAATCAGTGGCATTGTCAGACAGTTTTTTTAAGAGTGTTTTTTAAAGCTAAAGTTCCTGAATGAATAACGATTGACTCATAAATTTATAAAAAAATCATGTTTCTTGAAGAGCAAAATTTTTTTTTACTCAACCTAGAACACGTGTTTTAGACCTCGAAATTGATGTGAAGTTTAAAGTGATGTATAGACGAAAATTGCTACAGGCTGAGATGCATCCATCGTAATACCAAACCCCTTGTACCCCCCTTTTAAAGTATTGACGAAATTTCGTTGAATAATAGGTTTGTTCCAGGATTAGATCCTTAGTCACCCAACATACCATTTTTAAAATGACAACGGATGCAACTTCAATTCTATTCACAATACTATAATCTAAGCAAAAACCATCAAATTAACTTTTAAAACACCGCAAAGTCATTTTAAATCCATTTATTTTCATTCAATTGATCTGATAAAATGTCAATTCAATCGAAAGATAGTTTTGCTTACATTCAGCTCTCTTTTTTTTGTTCAATTTGCGGAGAAATTCAAATCAAATATTTACATTTCATTACAAATAACGATGCATGAGATGTGTCAGATTGAATTTCATGCTGATGAAAATTTCAATCGCGTAATGCAGTGAGAATTTTTATTCATAAATACGTCAGTCAAGTGAGAGAGAAAGAGTGAGTTGGTAAAAAGTAAGAAGTAAATATTTAGTTGAACGTGTCATCGGGTTCAAATAGTTTTTTGAATTTTGTAGAAAGTTTGTCAAGGAGTTTTGTTAATTTAATTTGTTTGGAATAGTAATGAAGAATAAGAATTATACAGCTTTATGAATTGAAGCTTTGTTTGTGTATTATTTTAGTGAAAAAATGCATGAGATTCATTTATTATTGATTTTAATTGAATTTGATTTATTTTATTGCATAGCTCGAAGACTACTCAAGATTTTCATCGATTATGTAGTGAATCGACTCTGAATTGACTCGACTCCAGGAGCGGAGCCAGAAAATTTTTAAGCCCGGGCCCCCTATGCCCCCCCCTGGCTACGCCCCTGCTCGACTCCATACACAAATTTCATCGACTTCGAGCTCTGTTTTATTGTAAGAGAAAAAATCTAGAATTCCAATTTATGTGCATTTAATTTTTAATCTTGAGTATCTTGTACCCCACACTAGCTTTGCTAAACTTAACATTGCAATCGCCCTTTTATAATTGTCCTAAACTTAGATCAATTCAATCTCTAGTGATTATTCATTTATTAGCTCACATCTTCATTGTTACTATTATTTATTTTTAGAAAGGAACTCAAATGCGTATTTAACCTAAATTTAATCATGAACAATACCATTCCTTTCTTAGAATATTTAACAAGGCATACGCGAATAATTTGATTTCGAAGTTAATTGAGTCAAATTACGAAACAATAAATATTTTTCCCAATTATCTCTCAAAAAGGTTCATTAACTTTCGAAAGGCATTCAATATAAATACTGCAATATAGCCAACAAATTCCAAGTCAATCAGAAACAATAATTTGAAATATTTATTGCTTGAATTGCATGGAAATATTTATTTACTGTATAAATTCTTAAAAGAATCAAAATAAGTACAAAATTACATTACAATTTAATAAACATCACTTTTGTCAACAAACTTTATTTGTTCGTTCCTTGACTTTCTGTTGACTGGAGTCGTTTGGATATTATGTAACCTTTAATTCTTTAAAACACTCCCCCTCCCCTTAAGCTTCATCTGTGCAACTTTAAAATATTTCATAGAATAAGCTCTTCGTCTAAGTGATACTTAATATCCACACGACTCCATAACATAGCATTTTATCGTGAAATATAAAATAAATGACTGTCATGGCCATCAACAGTTGATAAAAGTTTGTAAAACTTTCGAGACTGCCAAAAGAAAATTGTTCAGGAAATCACAAGCAAATTAAATCGAATTATTCTCATTTTGGGAATTGGGGATTGTCTAGAAATGTAAAAGCTGATAAATGACTCTTTACTTCTGCGAAAAAGATGCAGTCATGAGTAAGTAAATTGATATCAAGCTGTAAATTGATCCAAAACGCCTACGTCACATCTAAAGCACGGTTTAAACAGCATATTTCATATCATGTGCTTTCTATTTTAAGAAAACTCGAATCTGAAAATGACTAAATGCCTGAAACTCTACAAGACTTGTCATGAAATATAAATTTGATCCTAAAATATGCATGAAATGTTTTCATCGTTAAGAAGCTTTAATTTTTAAGGAATGAAAAATTCAAGCTCCATGCAAAGCTGATTATGAATTTCTGAGAAAAAAAAGTTGACATGCGGAGCTGTTTAAAGATGTTTTGTTGTGGATAATCAACGGTATGCGTCTTGGCAGTGCTTATGGTCTTTAATTTAATATTTTTTGAAGGACGAAGAAAATTGAAATTTAAGAAGATGATAAGGATCCACACAAAAAAAATCTTGCATCTTAAATGAACCATATGGTGAGCATCTACATTGTAATTTTCATAAATAAAAATCCTTGAATACATCCACATCATCCCATAAAGAAAAAGACGGAATAACTTACCATGAAAATCATATATTGATGCTGGTGTTGTTGTGTTAACCGACGACTTTATCACATTTTGTATTTGATTTTCTTTCGATGCCTTAAGTTCCACGAGATAACCTTCTGGTAAGATTGGAACTGTTGGTCCTCGACTCCATTCTTCACCTGAATCATAATCTTCTTCAATAATCTTAATCCTACTATCGTCGTAATTCGTATTCAAAGCCAGGATTGTGCCTCTTTGTATATGTGCTGTATTTTAAGGAGAATATTAAATGAGTAAATGATAGGAGAACAGAATGTTTAAGGGATGAAGAGAATGATGATGTTGCAGCTCCTCTAGATAGATGTTTGTTGAAGTATCAGGAAAGCTTTATTGAGAATCCCTCCTTATAACATTATTAACATAATTGTGATATCCAGAGTGCACCTAATAATGTCCACTTCACCAAAAAAACCCACTCAAAACCAACAGAACAAGTCAATCCAAAAGAACTGCCACAAAATTTTAATAAGATTAGTTGGATGATAAATGCTAGAAATAAGAACATAAATGAAAGCTAAACACAAGAGATTAATACGACTTAATAAAATTTTTTGCGCCCATACATCCCAAATAAATTTTGTGCAACTTGTGTGTCTTGATGACCATTAATAAACAATGTCTTGTGAGATTAGGTCACAAGGAGAATGAGGAGCAATAACAATAAGAAGATAAATGACCAGGGAGGCAATTAATTGACGTGATTTTAATTACTTGCTTCAATTGCTTTGATGTCTCTTTTTAGAGTCATTTACGCGTTATTTATGAGACACAATTAAAGAAGAGCCTCAGAATTTTAATGGCCACTAATGGTTGACACTTTTATGTGCTAGAAATCACATTGACTTTTTTTTCTATGTCATTTCGAGCCCTCCTAATAGCTGAAGACTCAAGATGATGAGACATTTTAGTGGAAGGACTTCTGTGAAGATTAAATGGAAGCAATTTGTAATCTTATTCTTGTCAACAACAACCACCGAAGGCACTTAACGTTCCTTTTTTTCTACAAAAATTATTTCTTTTTCACCAACGTAATTTGTTACTGAATAAATGGTTTCACACCTTAATTGCTCTGCACTTTCAGTATTTTTTTTCCACCTTTTTTTATTACATGAAACTCATTTATTCACTTGGCGGGTGGAATTAATTTAATTTTTATTTATTTACACAAAAAATTTCTCTCTTGATTATCCTTAAAGTAATCTTAACTCACGTCTAAATACCAACTTTTTTAGATACATGCCAGGAATTGTTCAGAAATAAGGTTTTTACCTAAAGTTGGACTTCATGACAGAGGTTACTATTATATAGTCTTTAGAAATAGCACTAGAGACTAGTGACTATAGGTGAAGATCTTTACTTCCTCCTCAATCACTACTTATATCTTTAGCTAGGTTTTTAAATTGCCATCGTTTGTTGATTCTAATCCTCAACTCCGGAGGTTCTTAAAACTTTAAAATTTAAAGATTTCTTCTTAAATCAGACATCATTTGTGAGTATCTCCTTATCAAGACGAGCAGAAACAACCTTGCAGTAAACACAATCTTTAAATTTTCATATCTTATTTTATAGGATAAAGCAGTTTGAATTCGCATCTTCATTCATTTCCGAAATATTCTTTTAGAGCCTGTGGTTTAATAAAAATATCTTAATTTGACTTTATCGGTTTGACATTTCACGCAGTTTTTAGGGCAATTTTTATAGACTTAACGGAGGCATAAATGCTAACAATCAGGCGCGTAGCCGGGGGGGGGGGGATTTAGGGGACAAATACCCCAATGTAAACAGAAATTACTTTATTTTGCTAGGGTTTTTATGGAAAAAAAAAACAAAAATAGCACCCCCCCCCCCCCACTTAAATTTTTCCAAAAAATTTTTGTCCCCCCTCTTCAAATTCCAGGATACGTTCCTGCTAACGATTGAATGTATTAGCATTTTGCTGCACACAATTTTTAAGGCTGCACAAAATGTTAATTAAATTCTCAAAAAAGTATTTAAAATCCAACTATTTCTCGATATTTAAAGCTTAAAATCTACCCCACGTAACCAAAATTTGATGCTTGCATGATGCTCGGTTTTCGCAATATTAAAACTCATTCAGGTATTTCTGAGAACCACTTGACTGACATGTGGCTAGCTTGCATCTATATGCATGAATAATTTTTGCAATTAAATAACTTATAAAGTCAGATTTTGAAATAAAACTCTATAAACTAGAACTAGCTGATGTTGACAATATTTTCGCTTTATTGACCAAAACAAGATTTATTGGATATTCAATGTCTGTTTGGTACGCAGCAATTGGAAAAAATTTCAACGACAGATATGTCGCAAGCAGTGTCAGCATTCGAAAGAGCAATTTACTGTGCTTGCAATATCGACGAAAATATTTTTGTAAATTTAAGTTTTGCACTCAAAACAAAATTTTATTGAAGGAAAACATTTCTTTTCGTGGATGAAACGTTTAAAAATAACTTTTTTGAGGACGACTTGGTAAAGTTGCAGTTGTTGATCCTTAAAAATTCTAGAAAGTTTAAAGTGTTTGAAGATTTTTTTTTCAGCAAGCAGAAGTTTAAAGTGCTGCTGATAAAAGTTTGTCTAACATTTGAAAGTGATGTCTTGGTGTCACCAGAGGAGTTCCTCAAGTTATTCTTTACTCTCGGATATCAATGCCATACCAAAAATTAAAAGTAAATATTTTGAGTACCGTGACCCAGAGATCGAAGCCGATTTTTTCGGCTTAACTCAATTTTTGATTTTTTTGATAGAAAAAAGCCATTTAACACCCATTTTAAGTATTTAAATTGAACTTTACATGCTTTACTATGATTCTGTGAAATATTTTTTCAGCATGTAGCTATAGTGAGCTCAGAATTTCAAGTTAAAGAATGTTAAGCCGAAATTTAAGCCGATCGGCTTAAAATCGGCTAAATTGAAATTTAGAGCCTACTATAGCTACATGCTGAAAAAATATTTCACAGAATCATAGTAAAGCATGTAGAGTTCAATTTAAATACTTAAAATGGGTGTTAAATGGCTTTTTTCTATCAAAATAATCAAAAATTGAGTTAAGCCGAAAAAATCGGCTTCGATCTCTGCCGTGACCTTAATTAGCGCTATCTTTATTTTATTTATTGCATTTCTTGTTCCTCAATTAATGAGGCCGACCGCTTGACATGACTTCAAGTGCCTTACAAACATGACAGATTTAAATTAATTTGATACATGTAAAGACATTTGAGGACTTGTAAAAAAATGTATGAAATTTGAAAATGCATTTCAATCACAACTAAGCTCCACCAAAACTGCACTGATGGACACCAAATTACTAATTATTCCATATTTCAAACCTATTTATCTGATTCATGATTTCACTTTTTTATGAATCACTATTCATCTCAATCACCTCCAGCACAATCTGTTCTGATTTACTTTCCCTTCAACATTCTTTAACATTTCTAATTTTAAACATTTCAGCTACTACAATTTATTCAATCCTGCCTCATGCTGGCATTATTACTTTCTCCTCCTACTCAAAGGTTGTGCAATTTTGATGAAAAATATTTATAAGCTACGCTTGACATTATTCGACAGAATATTACAATCATATTTTTTTTTTGCCTTTCTTTTGTTGAAAGAGGTTTGTTAACGGAAGTCCACCTGCTATTTTCTTGATGTGAATGAAAATAAATATTATTTGATGAAAAACAGGAAGTAATTGAATGAATCAGCAGGAGATGTTTTAATATGCTTAGGGAATGTCTGTGGATGTGTGTTGAAGAAATTAAATTAAAGCTCACAGATTTCTTTCAGAAAATTGAAAAACAATTTTAAAGGTAAGTTAACTCTCTGTTTGAAGGCATGATTTTGGGCATTTGTCTTAAATAAATCAAAACATCATCCATTTCTGACACTGTTGAAGAATTTTTTAAATCTAAATGTGACCCTATTAAAGATTCAAGCTTCTTTGATCCATAATGTAACTCATTTGAGAGTCAAATAAAATTTTATTACTCTTACAGTGCTTTCATGACTGAAATGGCATCCCCGCATTTAGGTGCCGTTTTGTCCTTAATTAGTGGTGCAGTAAGAACCAGCAGGATTCTTTTTTTCACTCGAATCAGTGCCTAGTGACTAATTTGCACCAATACTTTTAAATTTATACTTTTCTAAAACAACTTGCAACGGCACTAATCATTGTTTTTGAATGCTGTACATTATAGAATTTGAGTTCCAATAATAAATCAATTATCAGTGAACTAGTGAAATAAACAATTTGACCATAATATGTCTATCCGATTAGTAATCCATAAACCTCATCTCTTCAATCTCCAAAACATGTTCAACAAAGAAGCAATTTTCAGAACATAATCATTTGCAATCCAGCATCAACAATTTCAGTTACGTAGGTTTTCTTCCAAACCAGTGACTTTTCACATCCACTTACATATGTATAACAGTATAAAATAATTCCTCTTATTAATTTTAACGCTAATTAATTAATTTTCAATTAACGATGAAAACTAAAACCTAATTAAAGAAAAATCAATCAAACGAACAACGTTTTTGTTTTCACGCTCATTTAATTTTCACGGTAAACAGATCACATTTCCACTTTATCATTGAGCACGAAAATGCTTATCACTTTACAATCCCTCTTATTGTATAATATTCTTTTATGAGTGATTCGTTTCAATTACAGCTTTATTTCATAACAAATAGCTTTCGTTTTTTTTTTTTGTTTTATGCTGATGTATTAATTTATGTCTCACGTTGTAACTCCAAAAAAATTAAATCACTTGTGTTTCTCCGCTGAATTCTAAATGATAACTGAATGGACTTCAAGTGAGCGAACGTTCTTTTTATGGATATGAAAATTTATTCTGCTACTTTTGCTGATGCTACACAGCATGGGAAAAATGCGAACATATGATTCGGGGACGAAAACGAGAAAGAAGAAAAATTTCGCATTCAAGGCGCATGATAAAAAGTGTGGAGAATGGGAGAGGAATTGAGAGAAGATGAATGCTTTTTTGATAGATTCACATGAATCATTCGATGCGAGATTGAGTGGTTAAGTATGCGAAATAAAGCTTTATGAAGTTCGTCTGGAGAGCACAAGACGGGAGAGAGAGGCGTCACAGAGAGATGCCAATTTTTAATATTTATAGTCAGTTTGCCTTGAAATTGTAAATATTTATATTCCTGCATGGCATTTTTCCATAATTTGAGTATCATCGAGCATTCTCAAGTAACCACAGTCTAATTATGCTGAGTATATCATCCAAAGTAAGTGCCACTTTATGTCTACAACCTGGTTTTTTATTTAAGGCATGACCACAGGAAGGAAGAAGCAAGTGCTCGAGAAAAATTTCGTTATCAAACAATGAGAAATCTGATATGTGCAAGGCGAAAAGGAAATATTTATTGAAATTGTCAACATTTTTCCACACAATTTATTACCTTGCCAACAGTGCTTGATGAAATAAGCCGTGCTGTGACGGAAGAAAATGTGCCTAACATTTGTCCTTTTCTTCATATTCACTGACATCTTTTCGTCGTGGCATGGACCAAGATTATTGATATAAATAAGAACGATGTGTGTGAAAATCAAAATCTTTCGCTGTTCCTTCTCAAACATCATCAATAAGAAAGAATATTTGAAAACTTTGCTGATTCGATGGAGTCATGAGCAAACAAATTGACGAGCTTGTTTATGGAATAAATTGCTCTGTCATGAGTATCTAATGTAATGCTATATTTATTTGAAATTGGATTGAAAATAAAGTTCTATTTGTAGCTATTTTTCGAGAAGAAGATGAGTTTGTTGCTGTCTACTTCAGTCAGACTGCTTTTCATGCGAAAAATATGCATTAATGGATCAAGAAGTATCACAAATTAAAAAAAAAAATGCGCTAAGGCGATTCGCAGCTAATGTGAGTTTAACAAGTGAGGATGCGCCAAACCACTGCACTCAAATCTAGACCTACAATTTATAGTGGGATCCTTAACCACTCCTTTGATGACATTTCTGTCTGTAGCCTTAAAAAGGAAGGCTGAAAGCCTCATTTCAAGTAAATATGATTCGAAAATGGAAAAGTGAAAAATTTTCCCATATCCAGTCTCGAACCCATGATCTCTGTGTCGGTATTGCAATAATTAGGTACCGAAGTACTAAAACATTCCGTCACCGAGCCACTTCAGCTCACACACAGCACAAAGTCTGCTAAAGCTCTAAGCAGCCAACGAGCACAGTTTTAGAGTCAGTGAATACAGAACCGTATAAAGTCGTTTTAAAAAAATAATGCGCTACTATCAAGTTACAATAGCTTTGCAATAAATTTTTAACTTATTGAATTTTCTTCCTTCTTTTTGTGTCAATTCTTCTGATTAGTAATAAATTTTTTTGTAATTCGAGATATTTCCTGAGACTACAGAAGTTGCGCGATCAATGAAAGAAAAGGAAAGAATAAATTGAAATTTCTAAACGAGATGAATGAACGAAAAATGAATATTTATCGATTATGAAGTTATTGAACGATCTTAATAAGATAGAGAAAGGTCAGTGATGACAGTTGTTGGAAGCACTAACCGACCTTGAAATATTTCGAATTTTTCGGAAATTCCAGCAGTTTTATTCTTGATTAAAGCAAAAACAATTCTGTGTAATACCAAATTTAATAGCCGATTTATGTCTCGATAATAGCATGCACACGAGATACAACGTCGATTATATTCAGTTGATTGTTTATTAAAGGTAATGTTACTTCATTTACATTATTATTGTTTGTTCAACTCGTAACAAAACAAGTCAATTTAGCTGTATGAATTTCTTATCTCATTCAAAACATAACACACATAAGCCAGAATTAACAGCATTAAAAACTCATTTGCATGAATGCTTCCAAAATGAATTATACTGAGCTAGGTGAAAAGATTATAATAATTTTGCAGGGGACTAGAAAGAGGAAGTTTTTGATTTAATGGATTAGTTTTAAAAAACATTTTAATATTCTAAGCTTTGTGGTGATTTGGAAACTTATAATCGTATGATTAATTATTAAAAGAGCATTGCTAGAGGTAACAAACTGTAAGCAGCACACATTTGTCGTTACTCATACAACCAATTTATGATTTTTAAGAAACATGCTGATCATATCAACATTCAGAATTAGCTTTGCATAGCTTAAGAATTACATAACATCCAAAAACTATCGTCATCTTTTAATCATTTCGAATGTGCGTTGTTTAAAAACTCAAGCATCTGAATAAAGCAAAACTTCAAAAACTGTATTGATGATGGTTCAAGTTCAATATCCTCTTTAATCAATTCCTAATTGCTAAATATATCCATAGAGTTCATTAGACGTAGTTAATAAGTCTGAGTGCAATGTACTCATTTAATTAGGATATAATTATCTACAGTTATAATTTTATTATTATACTTCCATGAAGGACTGATAATCTATTTGTAATGCAATTACAAGATTTAGATTTATGAGTTACAAATGGAATTTTGATGAGAATTATAAGTTATGAGTCGGATTCATCTTGGAATGTGTAGCCGTGCCTATGACAAGGCAACGTCATACTAAAGAGGATAGGGGAAACAGAAAGAGGCAGTTTATTATCATCATTCAAGAAATTGAAGAATAAATGAAGACCACATGAGTTTTCAGACACATGATCTTTTTCATAGACATTTCACATATTTAGAACTAGACATTGGAAGAATTTCGTGTGAAAACCCTAGATTAGTGCAGTCATTGTCGGTTTATAGAGTTTTTGATTCATCTGTGAATAGCTTTCGACCTATTGTGATTCCATTAGTTCAAATTTTCGACCCATATAAAGAGCTAGACTTTCATTCAGAACAACCAAGAGTTATAAATCCAGTTCCAATTACACCATTTTCCTTTATTGAACCCCCAACACCGCTACAAATGTCAGTGTACAGTTACTTATCAGACAGTTCTCAGCCTTCAGTCGCATAATTTATACAGTTCATCCATAATTGCAGATGAATTGTATTGCTATGAAGACTAAACTCTACTTTCCATTCGAGAACATGGACCTGATACATTTTGACATAAACCTTGAACAAGTCGAGATTATTTCACATAAATCTGTGATGGATGTCAAGATCAATTTTACTCCTTAAACATTTATTATTTTAACTCTATACCTCAACACCTGATCTTAAAACTCTCATTCAACTTCGAAAATATCCAATTTAGTCATTGTTATCTCAATTAAGGTCGGATTACAATTGTTTAAATCCATTCATAATTTCCTTACCATTCATTTCTGCAATTCATTTTCAATCTTTTGCTTTACTTTCACTTCAAACAAAGGTTTCAAGTTCACATACCTCATAATAAGATTCATAATTTTGGTCTACGGACTTTATCTTCTGCAGCAACACATCACCGGACCAAAAATGCAAAAACAACTTTCGCTCGCCTTGAAACGAAAAGAACATGCACTTCATGCAATGTAAACTTAAACGATCTGCTGTATCGATCTCGTGAAGACTCTGAAATTTAATTCTGATCTGGTGGTCAGTCATACTTTTGAGCTCGGAATCTTCGGAACTATTTTGCTACTATGATAGCTTTAATAATATTTGCGCTGCAAATTTTTATTGCAAGTTCAAGCTCAGCAATAAATAGTAAGTTTGTTCACTTTATAGGAAAGACTGTAAATAATCTTTGAAGGATTTCTGTCAGGAAATGGTGAAAGTGCTATGAACTTTATAAGTTGAAATCAGGAAATGTTGTGGTTGCAATGTGTAAATGGGAATGAAAGGCAAAATTTTTGAGTGAAGAATTAAAAGTGATGATTAGTGGATTTTTCTAATTCGTTAGTTCTTTTGAATATGAAACTGGGACGCAATTAGTTTAAAAATAAGCTATGCATTTGGACAGAAAATGCCTCCTTTGCTAGGTATACAATGATATACTAGCATTTGGATGACTTCATTACGGCATCTTGCGCATTCGAATTGTGACTAGGTATATTGCAGGGTACATCAGGTCTAATGACGTACTCGTGTCTTTGCAATGTGCAGAGCTTGCAAGTGGTTCGGATCCCACTATAAACTGTAGGTCTAAAGGGTGTGGTACAATAGATTCTGTTCTAATTTGAATCGCAGTGCCTCCAGCTGAAAGCAAAAATCAAAAGAACACGTGGAACTCAACGGTTATATTCATTTAAATTTTTTAAAAATTTGCTGGTAAATTACTAGTTAAATTGTAAGCTAATTGACTAGTCAATTAGCAAGTGAAAATGCGGGTCTTTGGCGACGATTTGAACTTGGATTTTGACTAGTAATTAGCAAGTAGCAAATGGAAAGTTATCCAGTAAATTACTAGGAAATTCCTGCTAGGGAACACTTCTTAAAAGTATAGGACATCGATTAAAGTGAAGAGTCTTCCGGATAGTTTTAAAAACCAGCTGCTGAATCATTGAATTATACTAAACTACCTCAGTTTTCCTACTCAATCTCAACTAATCCTTATTATTTCAGCTTCAATGTATTACCAAATGCCAAATATGTACAAATACGATGACTACAATGAGTGCTTAGGAATTTTTAATGACGATGCTGTTTATTGCATAGCTAATGTTAAAATTCAGCATAATTCATCATCCGAACTAAATAATTTCATTGTGGAATATTCTAGCAATCACAAGCAGCATTATCGACATGATAAATTGAAAAGAGGATTATGCGTGAACTATTGTCTAAAGCTGATTGGAAATTTGTCTGATATCACACAATACCATACGCGTATACTAAACAATTCCTATGGATTGAGCTTTTTTAATGCTGAAATGTATCGTGAAAAATATGATGAAGTAGTTAATACATGCATTAATATAGAATTGATTGATAAATTCGGATTGAAAGGATTTACTGAAGTTCAAAACTGTATCGATAATGAGTATCAGAACTATAGAAATAATGCTATTGATTACCTTGATAAAATTGTGGCTATTCTACTTGCAGTAATTCTATTTACAATAATTAGTTCCAGTCTATTTGATCGCTACTTGCGCAACACAATTCACTTCAATGACAATTCAAAGCTTCACTATCAAAGCTCATTGCAATCAAAATCCCATCAAATATTGACTTTGTTTTCTATCCGTCGAAATTGGTACATTTTATCTTGTGACTCCAAAGCTGAATTTCATGATTTGAAAATCTTTCAATGGATCAGAACATTCACATTCTGGTGTGTCATTTTAGGACATGTTCTACCCATGAGCATAGCATTTCCAATTTTAAACCCAATTTATATTGAAGATGTAAGTAAATAAGAGAATTTTGTGGAATTTGATTAAAATTTTAAGTTATATTTAACCTTAAAAATCAATTCCACCTCTTTCAAGTAAACACATGTCCAAATCATGAACCCCCAATTAACCCTACACAATAAAAAAACATTTTATTTTTCAGTTCTACTCAAAGCTCACGTCAATGTTTGTTGTGAATGGCAACATATTCGTGCAATCATTTTTCTTCATGAGTGGCTTCCTATCAGCATACCTTTTCATGCTCTACAGAGAGAAAGATAAATGCTCAAATTGGATATTCTTCGTTAAAGCTATAATTTTTCGATATTTACGTCTTATACCACTTTTGTTGTTTATGATGCTTCTGCATGCAACATGGCTTTATCATATGGGTGACGGACCATTTTGGGATGAAAATGTGCTTGATGACCGTGAATTTTGCCGTAAAAATTGGTGGATCAATTTGATTCTGTTGAGCAATTACATTGGAATTGATCAGATTTGCATGCTTCATGGTTGGTATCTGTCGGCTGATTTCTGGTTGAGTGTTTTGGGATATGCGTGCTTGATTTTGATCTATAAGTAAGTATGTGACAATATTCGTTATAGTTTTGTAGGTTTGGATATTAAGGACGATTAATAAAAATGTGAGAGAGTTCCAGCCAAGTGATGTTTTGCTACACGTTGCGACGAGCTGGAGGCACTGCGATCCTGATCGATTATAGAATCTTTTGTACTATGGACGATTAAGAGCTCTGACTTTTGTAACGTGGTAGTGTCTTTAGTCATCATAAATGTGCAACAGACCAAATACGAGAGTTTAACAGCAACAAGTTCAATAATATGCATCAAAAATTTTAATATTCATATCATTTATTTGAATATTTCTGACATGAAAACTTGTTTATTATTTTAGATATCCGTCGCTTAAAAACTGGATAATATCATCAGTTTTAGGACTATCAATATTCCTAACAGGATATGTTGTGTACGTGAATAAATTCGAGCCAATTTCCATAGTTTCGCCTGAGTAAGTTTATTGCATAAATGGAAATTCTATAGAAAAATAATTAAATGCATGTTTCGGTTGAACTATTTTCCAAAAAAATCATAAATTTATTTATACGCATGAAAATAGTTTTGATATCTATGCAAACAAAATAGCAACTTGTTGTGCCTGTTATTTCGATTTGTTGATAAAATTCAGAACCATGTTTTAAGCACACAAAATATCAGCAGAATATTAAGCAATACGCAACACAATAAATTAAGATTAGTCTTGTTAAATAGATTAATTCGACTGTTGAAGCATAGCATAGCATAATAGCCTCTTATTTGATGCCATAAAAATGAAATATGACAAAGTAAAAGTATTAAGATCCTTACGAATGTCATAAATGTTTGAAGGTCATTTTGTGAATGCTTCTGAAGATTTTATAGTTTATGGGAGGTAGAATTAAACTGGTTTTAAAGGAATTAACAGTATTATACAGGAAGACTAGATTGCACGCTAGTTACATGTGATTTATATTATGTTGATTACCATCTTGTCTTGTGCGACTACCCGTTGTTATGTAATAACTTTTTATTTTGATATTATCACGAATGAGTGTTTATATGAATAGATGAGAGTGCCAAAACCGTTATTTGCCAAGAACAGTGAGGTCGATGACAGTTGCTTGCATTCTTCTACAAGAAAACTAAAACTATGATTAATATTTAATCCCGTTTTTCTGCAGAGCCTTCAGAAATCATCTGATACCAGTCGAACCAGATGACCTTGACTACTTCCGACTGTATTATGCACCAACTCATATGAATTTAGGAAGCTATTTTGTAGGCATATTCGGAGGATTATGGTATCGAGACATAAGAGCTACAAAAGTTGATTATCGCAGACGTTTTGTGAGTGCTGCTAATTTAATTTCCATATTGAAGCTTTATGCTGCATACTAATTTTCTATTTCTTGATTGTAGTACTTCCGATTCATTTGGTACTGCTGCCTCTTATTAGGATTCGTTTTAGTTTTATCTGGATACCTCTTTTATCAGTATAACTTTGAGAAACCATCAATTTGGGTTTCATTAGCCGCAATCATAATTAGACATAGCTGGGGTGTTATCCTTGCCTTTGGCATCATTGGTGTTATTTATCATCATGGATGGTTCACAAGAAATTTGTTAAGCTACAAAGGATTTAAAATATTGGGTAGAATATCTTATGCTGGATTTATCTGTCACGTATTCATCCTTAAACTTCTCATGATGAGAACACATCAAATGATGGAAATAAGTATGCAAAATATGGTAAGCAAAATTGAAATTTTGACTCTCATTGAACTTTTGATCAAAACTTGAGTGTCTTTTATAGTTTACAATTACGATTGCATGCTTCGTACTTAGCAACTTTATTGGATTCTTTTTGACGCTTTGTATTGAAATTCCAATATCATCCCTACTTAAGGTGCTTACATTGAAGAGAACTGAGAGTGTTGAGAAATTCAATGATTCAAATGATGAAATTAAATAAGATTTAAATTCTACAATAAATTTAAATTACAGTAATTATGACTAGATTTAGTAATTTGCATTTAAAATAAAAAATAAAATTACTTAGAAATTAGAAATTATTTTAAAAAATCACAATTAAGACAAGGGTCGTTTAAAAATGACGTCTTTTGACAAATGAAATATTCATGCTCTCTCCAACCCTCTGTTATAATGTATAGTGTCACAAAGTTGCTCAATAATCTTAAACATCAATTTTGAACGACCTGACCTTAAAGTTACTGAAAAACTCTGTAATTCACCAATAAATGAAGCTTTCCAAATGACTTAAAATTTAACAGCAGACAAAGTATTACAATATGTCATTCAAGATTTCATTCCATTAATAAAAGCTTCCATGAATAAAAGAATGAAAATCACTATTGACATTTTCAACAAAAAAAAAAAATCTTTTTATGGTATAAGAGAGTAAATAAATTTACATAAGCAAATATGTATTTTCTTATTACATCCGTCAATGCCTTTCTTCTTGATAAAACGAAAAGATTATGTCTCTTTTTATTACGAGAGTAAAATGGAATCAAATAAGTCTCTGTGTTTGTCATCAATTAAATGTCTCGAGCTTTACTAAAGATAAAATAATTTTTATACAAAATAGAAGAGATTGTGCTTTAAAATATATTTTTATTTGTAGAGGATGTCCATTTTTTTTGAGAGTTTCTGTAAATAGAATTTTATATTTTTTTTTTTTGCTTGCTTTATTATTTATGGGATGAAATTTTGAACATAACAAATGAAATTATGCAGTCTTGGGTATTGGAGCAAGTTCTTTTTGATGTGTGAAGGTCAGATGTCTTATCACTGAGGGGTTCACAGACTTTATCTAAAACGAACATATTTTCTCATTAAATATATTAAAAATTGCTTGATTTGGAGATAAAACTTTGGTTGGATTAAATTTTTGTAAATCTTAAAATTCACACTCTTTATATAATTTTGATATTCGGAGGGAATCTGGCTTAGATCGGTCGCTTCTGGTACTTCATTGCATATCAGATCAAAAACAAAACTTCCTGATTTCTATTCTAATTCCCTAAAATCTAACAAGAATTTAAAAAACACTGATGCTTATCCTAAAAATCATAGGAAAAGTAAAAATGTAAATTTATTTGTCCAGTGAAATTAGATCCCTAAGGCACTTCGTTAGCAAAAGCATTCAAAATTATAGCCATCCAAAATTTACATCAGGAACAGTCTCTTACATCATAAGCATAATAAATGTTCGAGTTGAAATTGTCATTAGCATTTTTTTTCTCCCTCTAATGTCTTCAATTTTTCTTCTTTTATGATCCAAAATCTCTGAAAATTTTAAACATTGCAACGTAATTCATTTAAAAATCTACCATATATACGAAAGGTAATTTATCAGCGTGAGTGAAGCTAAGTACAATGACAAATTTTTATAGAGACATAAAAATAATCTTTAAATCACATGCTTTATAACATTTCCGTGAAAGTAATAGTCATTTGTTTAGCAAACGCAGTCGAAATTATGTATCATGTAGTAGAATACGAAAAAATGAAGAGACATTTCACTCATTCATTCATCTCTTCGGTTATTATTTGCATGAATGAATCGTTGAGTAATAAAATTAAGAACAGACATGAGAGAAATATAGCTAAAAAGCACGAGAGAGTCAGCATTATCGCGAGAGAAAAAGCTCAAACATAAAAGAGAGTGAGAGAGTGAAACGGACTTGAAAATGGAAACAAAAGTCGAGTCAGAAGACTTGACATTGAAATTTCTTTTGATCGTTTCGCTGTATTTCCAAATAAGGATTACGATGTAACTTTTTGAAATCTCGGAAAATTAAAATTTAATGTGAAAAGGCGGAAAATTGGATGTGCATGCAAAATCAAATTGGAAATGAATCATGAAGTTTTTGACTTTTTTAATTGAAAGTAGCTTAATTGTTAAAGTTATTTTCCCGAGTGACACATAATCGATATTTGAGTTATACTTAGAAAATCTTGCTTCATTGTCAAATCATCCATAAAACATATCTAAAGTGAATAAATTTTTAATTCTTCCTCAAATCAAGTGTAAACATCACCCAAAAAATACTAAGACTGAGATTAAAATACAACAACAAAGCTCATCTCAAATTTCTCAGTAATTCAACCTTTGACTTTTCTTTGAGAAAACAAAATGCTAATTTCTCACTTCGGAGGAAACGAAAAAGCTTTATTCCAAACGTAGCTAGCTCGTTTACATTAAGATACTAATAAATTCTTTCATCCATACTTTTTATTCCATACTTTTATTTACTCACCAATGATATTTGAATACTGAGTCGATTAAAGATCGAGGACTTTATCTATCTAAGTGCACAATTTAAATTTAACGAATATATCAATCAAAGAAAATGGGAGGTGAGGGGAGTAAACATAATCAATTCTGAAATTAAAAGCCTGACAAATTTCTGAATATCTTGAATGAAATGAGAAGGATGGAATAAAGTCTGAAAATAAAAAGTTTTTTTTTCTTCTTGTTTTCCAACGAACACAGTGAATCAGTTTGAAAGTTTGTGGTGAGGTACGACTTTAAGGCGTACTTTTGTGAAAACAAAATATTTAACGATTGAATTTTCAATGATTGAGTTCTATAAACGCTGATACTTAATCTAGTTTAGAACTAATTTCCTTTGTTCAATGAAAGCTGATACTTAATCTAGTTTAGAACTAATTTCCTTTGTTCAATGAACGTTGATACTTAATCTAGATTAGAGCTAATTTTCTTTGTTCAAAAACGTTGATACTTAATCAAGATTAGAACAAATTTCCTTTGTTCAATGAAAGCTGATACTTAATCTTGTTTAGAACTAATTTTCTTTGTTCAATGAACGTTGATACTTAATCTAGTTTAGAACTAATTTCCTTTGTTCAATGAACGCTGAATACTTAATCTGGATTCGATCTAATTTCCTTTGTTCAATGAACGCTGAATACTTTATCTAGATTAGAACTAATTTTCTTTGTTCAATGAACGTTGATACTTAATCTAGTTTAGAACTAATTTCCTTTGTTTAATGAACGCTGAATACTTAATCTGGATTCGATCTAATTTCCTTTGTTCAATGAACGTTGATACTTAATCTAGTTTAGAACTAATTTCCTTTGTTCAATGAACGCTGAATACTTAATCTGGATTCGATCTAATTTCCTTTGTTCAATGAACGTTGATACTTAATTTAGATTAGAACTAATTTCCTTTCGTTCAATGAACATTGATACTTAATCTAGATTAGAACTAATTTCCTTCGTTCAATGAACGTTGATACTTAATGGAGATTAGAACTAATTTCTTTTGTTCAATGAACGCTGAATACTTTGTCTAGATTAGAACTAACTCAGCAAATAGTTAAATCTCTTAAACCAAATTGCTTACGTAAACCAAATCAAAATCTCAAAAAACACGCTTAATAACAGCGGATTGTTGTACATTTTTATTCTTCACGAGCTCATTTGTTATTCTTACAGGTAAATCATGGTATTAGGAAGTGAATTAAGCTTATTTTTGGGATAATGAAGGATTTTTCTTTCTTCATGACGCGAGGACGAAAAAAATGGAAAAAAGCAATTTTCATGTAGTTTAACATTCTTTGCCATGATTATCAAATTATTTTGCTTTCGACACAGGAAAGAGTATTGAATAAGTGTTGATGCGTGAAAACCTGGAAAAATAACAGAATCAACAATGAAAATTCTTCATCACAGAAGGACTCATTCAAAATATCAATGGGAACTGTATAAAAATAAGTGACATAGCAATATGTGTTACTAATGGAATTCATTCAAGAATCTTGCTGTTCTTTTTATGGAACAATGAGTAAGGTGTAAGGACATGAAAAAGGATAAATACTTGAGCATTTATGTTGTATATTGTAAAGAAATATTTGAGATATCAGGAATAAAGGTGAATAAGGCAAAACCAAAGTTGAAGTTCAAAATAAAGGGAAAGTCTTGAATTTTATCGATCGTGAACTTGAACTTTGCAATGTTTAAAAATTCATTTTTATAAAACTTTGTGCTTTGAGGAATGTAAGTGTAAAAAAGCTATAACTTTATAGAATTAAACTAAAAATCAGTGCCGAGAAAAATATAAATGCGCTCTTTTCCTGGTAAGGCGGTTTTAAACTTTTAAAGTTTATTAAAATATAGAATTTCGTATCTTGCAGCTATTCCAAACAAAAGACAAGATCATCAGAACATAGTTTTATTACGGATATTCCGAATTCTATTATGATAAACTCAACTCTTATCGTACATTTTCGGTTTTCTAGAAAAACATTCTTCTTTAATGTTAAGATTCAAAAAATGGGTTAAAGTCCTTAAGTATCGAAAAACTTTTACTTGAAGAATTTCTCGTATCTTTAATGAAATTTATAAAATATCATGTGATATCAATTTGCCTTTAATACTCGAACAATCTCTTCTAAATTATCACCTAGTTCATAATTAGAGCTTTTCTAGCATATAAACTTCTCAACTCTTTAAAATTGACCGATAAAAAGTTATCATCATTAATAACAAGGTTCAAATTTATCAGATCCACAATGACATACTAAATACGATACTGCGGTCATAGAGTTCACAACACCATACACAACATGCATCATTAAAAATTAAATGAACATCGAATAATTTGAATCTTGTCATTCTTCATGTTTCAAAAACACCACAAATTTGTTTCACATTACAATACATGAATGTACCAGAATACAATTTGATCCTCAATGAGAAATATGAAGAGGAGCTTGTAGGATGTCGCATGTTAAAAGTGCGTGAATAAAATATGAGAGCATCATCCTATGTTAAATCTTTTTAATCAAAATCAAATCATTCCAACTCCTGACAATCTCGCATTTATTTAACTCATTGTTGGTGGTAAGCTGTGAGTAAGAAAGGAAATTGAAATAAAATGAGAGGATGAAAAGTTTTTAACGAAGGAGTAAAATTTATGAGATTTATTCATGAAAATTAATTCAAAAACATATAAAAT